TACACAGTGACAGAGCACACTGATGTTGGCACATGTACACAGTGACAGAGCACACTGATGTTGGCACATGTACACAGTGACAGAGCACACTGGATGTTGGCACATGTACTGCTTCAGTGCCTGTGGAAGAGGCAGCTTGCAGTATTGGGGTTTTTGAAACAGGTTTCATGTGGCCCAGGTTGGCCTCAAACTAATCAGGTAGCTGAAGATCTTAAACTTCTGACCGGCTGTCTCCACCTCCCAAGTCCCGATGCTCTACACTCACTTTCATGCAGTGCCGGGATTCCACCCAGGGCCTTGTGCGTGCCGGGCAAGGCCTCTCCCCATTCGGCTCTGTCCCCAGCCCAGGCACTACTGGTAGTAATTCTTAATCTTTTCTTCCAAGTTTTTGTTTCCTAACCTGCATAATGTTCTCGCTTTAACTGAAACAAAATTACTTTTGCTTATTCTTGCCCAGCAGAATCTGAAAAGGTGGTTTAGACCCAAACATGAGTTAATAAAGGCATAGAGCACCAGTTTGAGATGGGAGACTGATGGGCGTTGCAGAAATAAATGTGTAATCCTAGCAAATGAAGCACCCCTTTCCAGAAGTTCAGGGGCAGAAATGAACCTGATGATTTTAATGTCTGAATTCACTATTTTCACTTTCATATTCCCATTTCTGGATAATAAAATTCCTTCAGTTAAAATTATTTGCTATATGTCTTATGCTAACATAAATTTAGTGTGGAAATTTTTTTACATTGTGCAGATATTTCGAAAAACAATTTGAATTGTCAGAACAAACACAATTACCAATGTTTCTTCATTGTCGAAACTCACATGCTGAGTTTTTGGGTGAGTAAAAATGAAATATCTTTACAATTTTGGGGGGTGTGGTTTGAGACAGGGTTTCTCTGTGTAGCTTTGGAGCCTTTCCTAGAACTCATTCTGTAGCCCAGGCTGGCCTCGAACTCAGAGATCCGCCTGCCTCTGCCTCCGGAGTGCTGGGATTAAAGGCGTGCGCCACCACCACCCAGTTCCTATCTTTACAATTTAAGAACTGTGTGGCAGTTAGGCTAAAGTGGCTGAAAGGCTTTGTTTTTTTCATTCACAGACATAATGAGAAGAAATAGAGACCGGTGTGTGGGCGGAGTGGTAAGTATAAAGAGCTGTGTTAATATGGGATATTCAAATACGCCTGACTCGGATATCAAAAGTGAGGTTACTGAGTCTCTTGGTTGAAAGACGTGTAAATTTACTATTAGATTTATAACACCACTTTTAGTTACACTTCTTTTGTCAAAGTACAAGAGTGAGTACCCACGTCTACTCACGAGAAACAATGGGAATGGACACGTGCTGTCACTGTGCATTCTTCCTACCACGTCCTTCAGAGCTCGTCTGTGTAGTGGTCCGGCAGACATACACCAGTGTTTGCAATGTCTTCAACTAGTCCACTGTGCCCTTCCGGTTTTCTTTCCTAAGGCGAGAGTAGCCACTCTTCACTCTGCTTCGAGCTCCCCCACCACGATGTGCCTTCTGTTCTTATATGTTCCTCATGTGCTCATTTCAGTCATTATTCTTGAGACATCCCATAAATACTCTCTATTACCACTTGGCTGTGGGGTCTCTGACAGTGATTTCTAGTTGTTTGGGATCATAGGCTCCAGGAGATGGTCCACTTTTAAAAACTGCTCACATATACAAAATTTGAAATACAATCTCAGAGATTCATCTCTTGAGGTAAAGGTTGTTGCTTAGGTATCTAAGTCACAGTTCCGTTGTTCCAGTCTAGGAAGTAGGGCCTAACCCTGAGCATTTACTGTAAGACTTACAGGGCTTTGCTTGGACCCTTTTACGTATTTTCTTTTTTGAAAATTTAAGGAACACCCTTGTAATTTTTATTCCATTTAACGTGTGTGTGAACATGAACACGTATGTGCCATGGTGTTTGTGTGGGGTCAGAGGACAGCCTGCAGCAGAAGTTGGTTCTCTCCTCCCACCGAGGGGGTGTCTCAGGAACTGAACTCGGGTCTTCAGCTTAGCACCTTCACCCAGCGGACCGTCTTGCTGAGCCTCCATAGTTTCCAAGGCTTCCTCTGCTTGGTGTTTCACACCGCCACTGATGGGTGCATGTTCTCCCATGTTGCTGACATGTTAATGTTACTTTGCATATCTCCTCTGTAGTTTACTAAGCGTGTGCTCTGTAATTGTCCCCCGGGAGCTCTACTTAGGAATTGAGAAAGGTTTTAATTAATGACCTAGGCATTACTGGTGGCATTTATTGTACTTTCTAGACTCCACTCTCACTCACTTTTCTCCATTTCTAAGTAAAACTTTATGCGGATGAGTCTGTAACTTCCAAAAGTTCATACCAGGAACAGCAAAGCCAACCGAAATGTCTGGCTTTAATAGAAGAAATTGTCAAATAAAGCATTAACAACAAGTGCTCTAACTGGCTTGTAAGAAATCACATTTTAAATTAGCTTTATATTGCTGGAAGATTTTTTTTTTTTTTTTTAGTTCACTGGAAATGCTGAGGGAAGGATCAGATCATTCAGGCAGCTGTATAACACAGCTGAGAACGTTCTCCATGGACAGTGGTGACGACTTGAGCTGTAAGGCAGTGTCACTGTTAGTTATTGCTTTGTATTACATACATAGAGCTAAAGCAGGAGACAAAGACCTCAGCCCTTTCTGCCCGTGTCGCTCATGTGGATAATGTAACAGTTGCCATTTTTGTCTTTGAATGTACTTTTATTTTGTACACACACACACACACACACACACACACACACACACACACACAGGTACTCACTGAGGTCAGGAGAGGGCATCAGATCCCGGAGCGGGAGTCACAGGTGATCTAGAGGGCTCCACGTGGGCGCTGGGAACTGAACTCAGGCCCTCGGCAGAATCAGCAAGCACTCTTAACTGCTGAGCCACCCTTCCGGACCAGTAAGTGACATTTTAAAAGCAACGTTCTCACCACTTTATAGAGCTTCTTAAAACTTACCTCTTAAGGATTAATCATTTCTCCTCTAAAAGAAAAGTATCCTGTAGCAGAGAAATGCAATGGGATTTTCAGTATATTTTAAATACTCTGTTTGAAATCTTGTATTTTAAATGAGTGTTCTCGGACCTTTCCTCCTCCTGTGTAAGAATGTGGCTCCCTTTACTGTGTCCTTCGGAGAGAGTCTGCAGAGAGGGTGAAGTAGAGACACCCCCCCCCCCCAGAACCTTCGGCAGCTAACTCCTTGCTTTGTGTCACCGGGAAGGATGACAGGCTGTGATTACCAAGTCTGGTTGGAAAGAAGAGCATTGATTGTATGTGCTACCACATTAAAAAACTGTGACTCAAAACCCTTACCTATATTTCTGGCTTTGTTTAGAAAGTCTATCAATGCTATTGTAGCTTTTAAGATTTTTATACTAAACTTATATGTGTATATCCCTAGGTGCATTCATTTGATGGTACAAAGGAAGCAGCTGCTGCTTTGATTGACTTGGACCTTTACATAGGATTTAATGGTTGGTACGTTCTTAGGCTGTTTTCTGTTTTCCCTGATTTTTATTATATGAGCAGATTTATTAACGTTTGTATGCTCTGCAGTGATCCTTGTCCGAGAATTTTAGTAACTACTTATGTAAGACATGATGTAGTAGATTGTTATCACGGGCCAGTGTTCAAAAGTTACATGCTGTTATGCTGCATTCTGATACAGGAAACAATTGTGTTGAGGTCAGCACTGACTGTCTTTAGCAATCCAGTCTGTTCTCAGGTTGTCTCTTGCTTTTCATAGGTATACATAGTTCACAGCATTTTATGTAAGGCTCACATGTTGGCCGTGGGAAAGAGTATTCTATGACAGTCATCTGTGTACTTCTGTAGGCCACACAAGTCAGGCAACAGGTGTACAGTTACCCCAAGTGTGAGAACCTGTCCTCTGGCTCATGCCCGTGACCTTTCCTCTGTAACTCCACACTGAACCTCAGACACCCTCACAAGGCAGCCAGCACAGCAAGGTCCTGGCCTTGTTTTCTGCCAGATCTGTCTGCCAGTGTTTTCTACAGGTTGTCCTTAGGAAGCCAGTGAAGTTACAGACTAGAATGTGACTTGCTCTCCCTCTTCAGTGTTGCCCTGATAGTGGCCACTGGTGACATTAGGTATAAATTCTCAGGGAAACAGAATGGTGGTCTTGCTTATTCCTATGGAGCAGAGCTCAGGATGACTCTTTCCTACGAAATGGTTACATTTATAAATTGATAGTCAAACGTACATATAGTGATGAAGTCAAGCGTACTAAAAGACCAGAAGCAGCAGTTACTGCTCCTCCTCTGGCGCTGGACATGGATGTAATGTTACCTACTCCAGCTCTGGTGCCTCCTTTGTCTGTGTCCTTAAGATACACACCACCCTGACCCCCGCTTCCGCTGTTCCCTGTCTTCCTTCCAGTGTTATTTCAGGACCTGGGTCATGTGGTTGTCATTGTTTCTATAGTCACTGCTCCCATGTGGTGGACTTGCTCACTTGTCTTGTGACACTTTTGCTTTTCTTTGAGTAACTGGCCTCATATTTTTATTTCTTTGATTGTAAAACTTGAAGCCCAGCCAGGCATAATGGCACAGGCCTGTAATCTCAACTCCCAGGAAGCTGAAGCAGGAGGATAGTGAGTTGGAGGCTGGCCTGAGCTATACAGTGAGTCACTATTTCACAAAACAAGATAAGTTGAGGCTTCCTGGCACTTTCTGTAGCTCCATGCAAATGTCTTCCTTGGTTTTCTCCATGAGAAAGCCTATTTAGATAGTTGGTTAGTTCCAGGCCCTTCTATTTATCCGGACTCCTGTCTCTTCTCTGATAGAACCCCGAGACTTCACTTCTCCAGCTCTCATGTGTTCTGGAGTAGGTTTTGTTTTGTTCTGAGGTGAACTCTCATGTAGACCAGGCTGGCTGTGAACTGTGTGGCTCCTCCTGCCTCAGCCTCGGAGAGCTGAGATACAGGTGTGAACTACCACGGTGTCTTCTCTTTGGTGTGGTGAACACATTCTCTGCTTCCTGAGAAAATGTTCATGGGAAGTGGATGTATTGATAACGTGAGCTTGGCTAGTTAACGGAAGGAAGGGGACCCACTTTTGAGTCCCTAAGAGGCTCCAGTGCTGGTGACAGTTGATTGCTAGCAGAGCCCCAGTCCTTTCCTGTGTAGGGTTTGGTTGGTGTGGGGTTCGCGTCTTGTTTTTTGCCACACAGCCTGCTACTCCTGTACTGGCCCCCTGCAGCTGGACCCGCCCCCCCCTTTTAAATCACTTCTGGGAATATCCTTTCTTTCTTTTTGGGGGACATCTCAGAATTGGTAACTGGTATTGTCTTTTCTATAATTTCCATTCCTACTTTAACACCTTCCAAAATGTGCTTTATTTTCAACTTTTTAAAATGAAATACACTTCAGCTTTCATTTCTAGCTCTAACATCCTAACAGATGGAGTGCCTTCTGTCTGAAGACACTAGAGTTGGAAGTCATTTTCTCACTGTTCTGCTGCTTTTATCTCAGTTCTGGTCCCTAATGTTGTTGGTCTCTTTTATGATGGGGACTTTCTTCAAATGCCAGGCAATCTTTTACTGTTTGGGAAGGAAAGAAAAAAAAACTGGACATAGTGGCACATGCCTACCTAGAAGCTGAAGTAAGAATTTATAAAAGGCTAGCCTCAGTTAGAAGGCAAGTTTGAGGCCAGCCTGGGCTATATGAAATCTTGTCACAAACAACTCTTTGGAAGCTCTATGTGAGTCAGTCAATCAATTGCCAGGCTCAGATGACAGCTGGACTTTTCCACAGTGGATTCCCAGGTGTCCTTTTGTAGAGACCCTTTTCTGGGTTGATTTTCTCTAGAATGTCCTATGATCTTTGCTAGAAAAGTAGGCAAGGGACTTATAAATGTGCAGGCCAACATTCTAGAGCAGAGTAAGATAAAAGAAGGGACTATCAGTTCAATCTGCACCTTCAATCCCATGTTCCTGCCCTGCTGTGCTGGCTGTCCCCAAGTCCTTCGAACCGCATCCCTGAGTCCCAGGTAATCCATGTACCTTATCATTTTTCTGCCCAGACTTTGCAGATCATTTCAGTTCCCATTCCAGGCCTAGCTCAGCATTCTAGGTACCTAGTTCTGGGGTACTGCTTGGGTGAATTGGTTTGCGAGTCTCTTCCTCTGGGCCTTTAACATTTAAGTCACTTAGCACTTAAAGGCTGTTGTTTCTCCTTTTGTGTTTTGCTTTACTACGAAGAGTTGGGGTAACAGGTGTCCACTAGTTTAACCAAAAAAATGTTTGTGGGTGAGGTGCAGTAGTTGCCAGGATCAAGAAGGTAGGGATGAATATACAATACTTGTAGACAGTAAACCGGTTTGTAAGAGAGACGTCATTCCCATAGAAGGTACTGCAGGAGTGAGCTTAATTAGAACCTGGACTTTGGATCGTGGTGATGTGTTAGTGTGGGTGTATCAATTCTAACAAATATAACCACTGTGGCAGAATTTTTAGTGTGTTTTTAGTGTGTGTTTTTACATGAGGGGAATGAGGGAGGTGTGTGTGTGTGTGTGTGTGTGTGTGTGTGTGTGTGTGATTTCTGCTTTCTGTTCAGCTTAGCTATGAACCTAAAAATGTTCTGAAATGTCTTCCCAGTGAATTTGTGATTATATATTTTTTAAATACAAGGACAGTACTTCTCATCACATTGAATACTGAATCATTCCAAAACTTGCTGGCAAGTTAAAGGCATTTACATTCCCACTTACAGGTCTTGGGTGAGCTGGGTCTGGCTGACAGGTTTTCTTTCTGGGCACCTAGTTGAAAGGGTAACTTGTCAGCAATGCTGCTGAGACACTATTCTAACCACCAGAAGTGCACTGCTTACAGCCATGCTACCCCGTTATTCCAAAGCAAGTCTTGAGGCCAAAGGCACATTCACGGAGTGGAGTTTGGCCACTTGCAGTGAGGGTGCAAATATGTAAGTCTTACTATAGGACAGCAAAGACTTGGAAGCAGCAAGTCTGTTTCAGTGGCTGAAAATCAGTTTAAAAGGCAAAGCTAAGAGCCTCATGACCATTCTAAGTTACACAAATACTTCTTAACCTAAATTTTACTTAGGCTAATATATAAAGTTTATTAAAAGTTCATCTGGTAAGTGTGAAAAAGGATATCCCCTAAAGACACGAATAATCAGTATGCTACATCAAACCTTCACATTGAAGAAGTATCTGGGGGCTGGACAGGTGGCTCAGTGGTTAAGGTCACCTGCTGCCTTCCAAGGGACCCAAGTTTGGTTTCCAGCACCTACACTGAGTGGCTTGCAAGGAATCTGCTGGCTCTGGGGTACCCATACCCAAGACATTCACACAGTGTGCATGCATGCCTATATACACAGAAGTAAAAATAGTATTTTGTAAATGTTACAAAAGGACAAAAGTAGAGGTAGATTTGAAGTTGACCACAGTCTGGGCTCTGTGCAGGATAAGAATGTATACTTTCTAAAGCATACTGAGAACAAAATTCTTTGTGGTTTTTTAACTCTTAAAAGTGTCTTATATTAAGAAATTACCAAATATCATTTAAAAATATTGTTTTCAAGCTCACTGAAAACAGAAGCTAACTTGGAAGTTCTGAAGTCAATACCTAGTGAAAAACTAATGATTGAAACAGGTAAGTAGATGTTTCCAGAAGTTCAAGTTTCATATTAAACTCTAATATGTCTCCGAACCGCTCTCCCGCCCCCCAAAAAATTAGAGGACATTTGACTTCTAGTTGCAATCTCAATATGTGGCTTTTGTTTTGTTTTTAGATTTTTGGAGGTTGTTATTAATGGAAAAGTAGTTACGTGGATTTTTTTATTTTCAGTTTGACTAAACCTCAAAACTTAAAAAAGTGACAGAATCTAATAACCAGTCTGTACTTAAGAACATCTAATGAGCCCTCTAAGCAGTTTATGTCAGGGTTTGGAGGACTCCTCTACCTCTGTTAGAGTGGATTAATTCTATAGCCCTTTCAAAACAAACTGCAGCAAATGAGATCAAATGCTTCAGTGTGAGGATTTTAGAATGTCATCTCTTAAAACAAGTTTAAAGGCTGGGGCTCTGACCTAACCCAGGAACTCAGGGATTGCTGTTTGTTCAAGTCTGTAGACGGAGCCACTCTAGGGAAATTAATTTTATGTCCTTAGACAGTCACGAAAATGGTTTTATTCAAAGTACAATGCCTGTATAGTGTGCAAGCCATTCGAAAAGCAGTAACAGGGAAACAGCTCAGGGGCAGAACGTTTGCCTGGCATCCTGATACTGGGAGACAGACAGGATTCTCAGCCATGCTTTTTTTTTTTTTTTTTTTTTTTTTTTGTTTTTCGAGACAGGGTTTCTCTGTGTAGCTTTGCACCTCTCCTGGGACTCACTTGGTAGTCCAGGCTGGCCTCGAACTCACAGAGATCCTCCTGGCTCTGCCTCCCGAGTGCTGGGATTAAAGGCGTGCGCCACCACCGCCCGGCTCTCAGCCATGCTTTTACATGCAGTAGAAGCAGCACAGAGCAGTCTTCAATGCTGAAGCCTTTCAGTGATACTTCTTGTACCTTTAGGTCTTTTTTCCCCCCAAAGCATGTCACACACTAGCCACATTAGTAAGGAAATGAAATAGATAAAAACCAGTCTTTTTTCCAAGGTGCAGCTTGGAACTTTATATTATGCTTTCCTTAGAACTCTTTTCTGTTACATTAATTTTGCCATTTTGGAAGTTAGAAAATGGCCCGTAATTTTAGGTTATATTCTAGTGTAATGTTCATAAAAAAGATTTAGAAATCTAAATTCCTTACACCTTCTTTCTTCTTCCCCCAACTCTAGATGCACCTTGGTGTGGAGTTAAAAGTACACATGCTGGATCAAAATACATAAAAACTTCATTTCCTACCAAAAAGAAATGGGAAAACGGGTACTGTTTAAAAGATAGAAACGAGCCCTGCCATATCATGTAAGTTGTTTTTCCTGGTCTTCACAGCTGTCAGAGGTGACCACTGACGGCCACTTAGTGAATGGAGGGGCAGAATGAACGTCCTCTGGCATTCCAGTCAGGTTCAGGTTAGTTCAAACAAGTGAGTTGTGCACTGTGGTTAGTGATAAGCCATCTATTGGCACCTGACCCAAGGTCAAGTTTAAGTTCAGGTCAAAGATTATTTGAACAGTGGTTTGGAAATATGTGCATCTGAATAGCTATGTCATCTCCTAGGTTCACGTCCTTTCATCCAGATGACTGGACTGCCTTGGTGAGAATCTGTGGCTTTGGTCGTTTGTCACTTAGTAGGAAAAGGAAAAGACATTAAAGCTTGCCACAGAATCAGTCCAGTGCACCTTCCCTGCTACTGTTTATAACCTGTTGGCTGACCTTTAGTTAATGGTTGTCTGCCAGTTAAATATGGACAACAGCAACAACTCCAGGGAGGTAACACAGTTCTTTAAGCCGCACAGTGAAATACGTGACAGGATGTTCTTTCCTCAACTTCCCCTGGGGAAAAGAAAAAGCAATCCAGAATAGGCTATATGTAGAGAGCTGTGAAGAAGAATCAATCTCCTGGCAAACAAGGTTGGTCCTATCATTTTATGGGCACCTATTCAGAGAAAGTCTAGATTATATTGGTTTAATGTGGTTTGCCACTGTAGGCTTGCCCTGACATTTACAAAGATTAGTTATCAGGGTTTCTGTTAAGACTGTAATGTCTTGAAAATATGCCTTAAAAAAGTTTGTAATAAAGAGTGTAAGCCAGATCTAAAACTCAGCAGGCAGAAAAGCCAATTCAAGTGTCCTTTTACACATGCATACGGATCTTTTGTTTTAACACACTGGTTCTGGCAGTACTGAACTGATGCTTAAACCCCCAGGTGAGGGCTCTTTGTACTCTGCTTGTAAAATACCACTTGCATTTTGTTGTTTTGTTTTGGCCTGGGGTGGTGGTGGTGGTGGAGGAGTTTTCAGATTCAATTAGAAGACATTATTTCTCATAATATAAGGGACAATAGAGATCCCAAGACAATAAAGAAGCTGTTATTTTGCCACAACCACTTGGCAAATACACATATACTTGGAGGATGTAGTGCCAACTTAGTTTTCTGTACTTAATGCTCTGTAAAATCATAGCTGCTGGTGGTAGCTGTAAATTTGCAAGGCAAAATGTCAAGTTTTTAATACCGACTTAAGAACTGACAGCTTGTGTATTAGCCTGTCCTGTAGTTAGCTAAGTGGCAGACCTTGGGGAAATCAGCATTTGTTAGCTGAAAGGGTCAGCATTTCCGATAGAGGTGCCTCTGCTGCTTACAATCTTCCACTCCACTGAGTTTCCCGTTTTAACTGTTTGCATGCAGGTCTTCCTTTCCTTTAGGCTATCCATTTCTTGAGACATATTTTGGAGCTCCTGCTGTGTCAGGAATTGTGTGGTTACTGAGGCTACCTAGAAGAATCAGTACTTCTTAGGATCATACACCCCCTGGATGAGTAGGTCACTGTGGCATGAGTTTTGGATAAGGGAGTGAACAAACAAACACAATTCAAGATAGTAAGCTGCTTCGGAGGTGTCAGTTGATGACTGGGCCTTGGAGTTAACATGTGTCTGCCCTGAGAGGTCCCAGGAGCGTGCTTTCCTAATGTGCAATTTTAGCAGTTTATGAAGCCCGACTGGGAGTCAGGTCGGACAGACAAACATGTTGAGCAGAGGTAGACTGTAGAAGAGCCTGGCAGTTTAGTGCGGCAGAAAGTAGGATGAGGTGAGTGGAAGAAGAGAAATCTAGGACAGCGAAGTGAGACCAGGCCCTTGGGGCTTTTGTCTGGCAGCAGTATAGACTCCATCATGACCCAAAGAGACTAGAAGCAGGAGAGTGGAGGTTTTTATTTGAGTCCGAATCTCGTGCAGCCTGGGCAGCTTGGGAAGCTGCTCTCCAGCAGAGGGTGACCTTGAATCCCTAATCCCCCTGCTTCAATCTCCCAACTACTGGGGTGAATCTTGAACCACCATGTCAACATCCTTTTTTCCTTCAAGAGTTAGCTGCTTGTCATTGTGGGGAATACTGAAAGGTGAGGAGTCGATACTGCAAGACTTGAATGCCTGTGCCTAGTGTAAGGGTGTCACACACAGCAGGGGCTGGAGACATGGCTCAGAGGTTAGGGGCACAAGAGAGCCTGAGTTGTGTCCCAGCACCACATATTGGGCAGCTCACAACCACCTGTAACTCCAGCTCCAGGGAAATCTGATTCCTCAGGTCCCTGCACTTATGTGTACACACACACACACACACACACACACACACACACACACACACACGTAATTGAAAAAAAATTGTCACAATAAGCAAAAGCAGTTAAATCCCCCAGAATGCTATATTTAAAAATAAGTAACTGCAGCTTTATGCCCCTGAAGCTACAGAGAAATATACTGGATACAAAGGGCCTGGCCAGGTTGCCAGATGTTATTAGCGGCTCGCTAAACAAAATGCTTCACTAAGCACCAGTGATTGTCACAAATTTCTGAATAGTAAGGCGACTGCTGCACACGGGTCTTAGCAGAGCAGCTGTGCCTGGGCCACGGCAGTCAGCAGCAGCAGCAAGTCCGCAAGCTGGCGGCTGCAGACAACTGCACTCTAGAGTTTCAGTGTTGACGGAGTTCCTCCGTCGGTATCTGTGTCAAGCTGGCTTTTGTCATACTGGAGCAGTTTCTACAGTTCCAGCTCATCTTAAAGCCCCGTCCTATTTATTTGGGGTGTTGTTCAGTTAGGATACTCATCAAGGGAACAAAAAGCTCACGACAAGGAACATTGCAATGTTTAATTTGGACTACAACTTTCTAATCCGTGTTTAAAAACTACCTACAGATAATAGTGCTAGGAAACCACTACTGTTGGTCATCATTCTGTGCAAAGAAACAAAGAGAGGCCTCTGCCCCCCACCCCCACTCCCGCCACAGCTTCTGTACTTGCCATTTTGTATTTACTGTGCACACAACCATCCCTTGCTGTCTGTTAAAGACAGTTCAGCAAGCGGTGCCTTTCAAGTTTTTGGCCCGGCTCTCCCCAATACCATCATTATATGTGTGTCAATATAAATACAACTAAACCCAAAGCAGAAAGGTACTTGACCTGTATGATGTGCAGCATACAGTTCCTTTTTAAGATGCTCATTAGCCAGGAACAGATGTGCTATGACCTGCAGTTTTAAAGGACTCTCACTCCTGGGCAGTTCCATTAGTCCTGCACTTGTATGACCCTGGTTTTCAGTTTTCTTTATTTGCAAGGTAGCTCCAGAGCTTTCTGATTGCCAGTAATTGGTCGTGTTTTCCTACTGATATTACTGACAATAATAACTTTTAATAACTCTTAAACTTCCTTAGGAAGGGTACAAGATTTCTTCTTACATGGGAAAAGGTGATTATATGTCTTTAAAACAATATATTCTTAGAAAGTTGCTCCTCTTGTTCTCTTTCAGTCAAATATTGGAGATAATGGCAGCAGTCAGAGAAGAAGATCCGCTGGAATTAGCCAACACGCTATATAACAACACTATTAAAGTATTTTTTTCCTGATACTTATTTGTATGTGTTTTCTTTTGATGATGTGGAATTTCAGAGTAAACCTGAAGATTCCTTCCTTAAGGAAATCTTTGCAGTCATTCTCTAAAACGCTAACACTGTAACTTACACCCTTCACTTTGACCCATAAAGTTGGATCAACACTGTTCACGCTGTTAATGTCTTAGTTAACAACGACAACCTTTTTATTGTGTAATTTCATCAAAAGTCTAAAAGGACAGTGATGTTTTCCCTAAAACTTACCCAGCACATCCTGGTTTATATCAAAGTTGAGTTGATAACAAGCCTATTTCTCAATTCTTGGTCTCTGACCCATGACTTTTGAACCCAGCTCTAAGCTGCAGCTCAGATTTAAAGTTTCTCAGTTGCTTCTAGCAGGTTATCGTTCCTTGGTTTAAAAAAAAAAATTAATAGCCTCTCTACTCCAAACTATTTTATCTGTAATTTTATACTTTTCATTTTCCCACTCATTTTAAGGAAAAACTAGGGTCCAGCATTAGATTACTCTAATTTCATGGAGGAATCTTTGGCACAGTTGACGCACCGTATGATCATTATCTCTATTAAGAAGTTATTTGTTCAAATTTTGTCATAAAAACGTGAAAACATTTTATTCTATGTACAATAATGTACACAAATTTAAATAGGTCACCAAAGAGACCAGAAGTAATTAAAGAGGTATATTTACAGTCGCACATCACAGTAAACGGAACATCATTCACAGTTTCCACAGCGATACTGCTTTTGTGCTTGGTTACGCACTGACATGAAGCATAGCACTCCATTCTGGATGAACTGAATTTTAAACAAATACCTCAGTGATTAGGAAATGCTACTTTAATCAGTGTCATCATTGAATTCTGCCGCCGCCGCCGCCGCTGCACCTGTGTGCGGGGTCCCTCCGTTCCTTTCTCGCTGACCATCACCGTCCTCACAGTCCGTACTGTCGTCCTCGTGCAACTCCCGGTCAGATCCAGCAGCGTCTTCTCGGAAAGCTTCCTCTGGATTCTGATTTTCATTGGGTGCAATAAATCCATTGTTGTTAGAGATATTTGAATTATCCTTGATATCATCTTCGATGTACACTTTTTGATGGCACATTGGACAAGTGTCTTGAATGTACAGCCATTTCCGAAGGCAGAGCGCATGGAAATAATGATTACACGGTGTAATACGAGCAGATGTTGTAAACTCATGATAGCAGATTGCACATACATCATCTATTTCTTGCAAGTGGCTCCCTTTTATTTCAGGAAGTGAATTGATTTTCTTAACAGCAGTTCTACGATTCATGAATGTCTTCCAGCCATTTTTCACTTGTAAGTAGATGTTAAAATATGCATGTAGGCACATCATACAAGCCCGGATTTTACTTCCTGACTCAAACATCATGGTATAGGCCCCATTCCCAAACATTACTACTCCAAATATAAATTCGATAATATTGCCTGTCGAGCGGACAAAGTAGACATAATCATCAAGCTTTTCCCAGAGGACATTATAGTAGCCATCAATCATGAACAGCGTATAAACGGTGAGAGAAACTATCACTTTCAAGCAGAGTTCCACACAGAAGGCTGTGACTGCAAACAACCATGTGTTGAGTGCATAGTGATGCCAGAGAACATAACTGAGTAAAACAGGAAGAATAAACAGGCAAGCAGAGACGAACAGCACAGGGAAGTGTCTATGGAATGAGGACACGTGGGAGGCACTGAGAGACATTAGTACGGGGTCTGTCATTCCGTGGATGAAATGGAGGACTGCAGTTAATAGAAGGCACATGTTTCTACTTAAGCGAACGAGTCTCTCTTCGGGTCGCAGCCCACTTAAACCAGTCTGAAGAGCCAAAATGAAAAATAAAACAGGGGCTACAAAGCCAAGCCGCCTGTCATCTTCTTCAGTTGATCCAATAAAGGCCAATATTCCCAGGCCCAAATAATGGGCTATCGAAGAGATTACAGCACTCATGCCCAGTACAGTTAGTGTAGAATCGCATCCACTAATTATCAGATTGCAAATGAGGTCCCAGAAATCATCCCAAGAAATAAAGAAGGACTCAGCTTCATTTGCCATCTTTAAAATGTACATTAACACTGTTGCCTGAGCTGTAATTCTTGTCAGCCAGAAGACCCGAAGTATATCTGGGAAACGAATCCTTTTCCATGTGTCCTCCATCAATAACTGTAATCCATAAATTCGGTACATATGCCTCACTAACAGGTAAACGTACCGTGTAGAATAATAAAACCACTTAAGTTTCACTGCCAAGACGAGCACTGTATTTAATATGAGGATCAAAGAAGAGGTGAAAACTAAAGTCTCTCTGATGTGCAATGGTAGCTCTGTGATTAAGCCGATTACAGGAACCAAGATATTCAAAATAATTAACTGGGAATAGATGGACTGAATCTGGAGTAGGGTGACATAGCCAATTCCAAAGGTTAGCTGCAGGACGATGAGTGCCATCCACAGCGAGGGCCCTTTCCGAGGAAGCAGCTCGATTCCAAAAGCTGTCGTGTTGTAGGCACCATAGAAGTCAATGTGCAAAGCAGCGTAGTAATTCACCAACACTGAAGTTGCAGCTAATAGGAAGGCTGAGCTGTACATGTAAAACTTGAAAAGTGATCGCTGTGACAAGATCAGAACAATACTGGACACAATTATACCTACAGAAAAAAAGAAAATATTGTTCAAAAGAAAGATTCTTAAGCATATTTTCATACTAGCAATTAGAACTTTCTTCCTAATTATTATGGTATTTTCATAGTTGTTAAACCTCAAGGCAACTTAAGAGTTCTAAAGGCCAGACCAACTAAACATGTCATTTTAAAAAACCTGGCCCCATATTTTCTGGTTTCTAAAGTAATTCTGTTTGTCATGGTATATATCCCAGCATGAGATTACTAAATTACCTTCAAGACAATTTTGTAATAATATACATGTTTTGGTAAGTTTTAAAACTCAAAAGGACACTGCATATAAAATTTCAAAATGATTAAAAAGTTTAATGTACTCCACAAAAATAAGACCGTTAAGAATGACAGGGGTTGGGGATTTAGCTCAGTGGTAGAGCGCTTGCCTAGCAAGTGCAAGGCCCTGGGTTTGGTCCTCAGCTCTGGGGAAAAAAAAATAAGAATGACTAGAATGAAAGGCTTGTTCCTACCTGGCTTCAGAATCCTTTCCTAAAATGTTCTTCAGGCAATCAGGTGAAGTTCTCTACTTCTATCCAGTACCTCCTTTTCTTCCAACTGAACTAGAAGGCTCTTGTTTCTTAGACATACGTATTCTCTAAGAGTCCAAACTCAGGTCCCAACTACTTTCCTTCACATTTTGGAAATGCCTCCAAGTTTCCCTTTCCTAAAAATTACTGAATCACTTCTTCAGATATCAAAAGTAACCCTCAGAAAAACCAAACCACATTTTAAAAGATGGCTCTAAACGTCACTCCCACTATTCCATGTGTAACTACTTTAAATGGTCTGATGATCCATATCAAGTGCCACCAATGTACTCTGCCTAAACAGATGTGTTTTTAAGTGAAATCACCATGACTACATTACTGTACTAGGTTTAAAGTACAGGAATGAAATAAAACTGCTCACCTAGTTCTCCTAAACTCGAACTGCAAACCTCATCTGCCTTTTCTAGAACCTAATTTCAAGAAAGATACCATTATTCTTCTGATGATGCTCTGGGCTCCACACCCTCAAACTTTGCTTCCCAACACACACTACTGTGCCAAATGCTCCTTCCTCAACCATAATTACATCTGTGGTATATTCCTTAGAATGATAGCCCCACACTTCTTCACCCTTGACTTTTCAAATCCTACCTATCCTAGAGATTATACTGTTCATTCGGCATCCCCACAGAACTTTTTGTGTATATACTACCAGATAATGAAATCTGTAATTATCCATGAAGGTATCACCTTATTACATAGTTATATCCCTGCCTTATAAATAAATGGATCCCACAATGCTTTATACAAAAGAAAGACTTTTTTATTGGGGCAATGTTTCAGTACCATATGCATTATGCTCTTAGAGAGAGCCTGACTGAAAACTGAAATCTAGGAAAGGGGAAAGACATAGCTAAGAAGCCATAAACACTGAGTAGCTTTCCTTTCAGTGTGCCACCAAGAAGAAGGTTGTATCTCACAGCCTATGCACATATATATGTAGGGCTGAGACGATGGTTAGTTCCTTTAAGGGATTACCTGTGCCTAAACATCAGGTCCTTTGTGAAAAGAACACACATGCACACACACGCACGCACGCACGCACGCACACACCTGAAAATATGTAAATCTGAGTAAGTTCTGCCTGCTCCCCCAAAAGATTGGATTGTCTGGAGCATTAGCAGTTCTCCCCTAGAATGGAAGATGGCACTACTTCAGCCTGCAAGATCTTCTAAGTTGAGTCAACATCAAAATAACTTAAGTTCTATTTTGTGCCACTTAGAGAAAGTAAAACAAGTACTAAAATGTTTTGTGTCAACCTGCTATTCAGAGTAGTGTATCAGCCCCCACCACTAACCAGTCATGACCTTAGCTGAACTTTTAGTCTTTTTTTAAAACCTAATAACTTTTTCTCTGAATCTTATTTATACACACAAATAGAGGACTGGCTTGGCTATTAGGAATGCTTGTACAGAAACAAATGCCAATGGCAGAAGAGGGTAAGTATTATAATGACATTTCAACCTCCAAGTCTGGGTATGGCCTGACAAGTAACCTGATCCCTCCTTCCCTCCAAATCAGGGCCTTACTATATACTCAAGGCTGGCCTCCAACCTATACCTGCTTCAGCCTCCTAGATGCCGGGATTGCATCTGCCACCACCCCCAGGCTTGATACGTCTCTTCCCTGTGGAAAATGACACTCTCAGTGTATAATGAACAAACACTCCAAAAGTAGCCCGCAGTTGTTATCATCCCTCCCCAAAGTCTACAGACAGATCTTTTATATGGGGAAACCAACTCTCACTTTACA